GAGCTCAGCCAGTGTCTAGATGAGAAGCTCGACATTTCTTCATCGACCCCTCCTTCATAAGAGCTTGTCCCGAGATTCTTTTTTCTTTTCTTTTCTTTGTGAATACTTCTCGTAGTGAATGATGGTCTGTAATAATGTTAGTTAGGTGAACCTATTGGTGTGTCGTGTGTAGTTGTAGACATTGTGGACAATGTCCATCCTGAGTGTGGGGTGGATGGTCTGTGTTCTTGTCGTGTTTTATGTCGAGTCTTAGTTGTCCACAGTGTCTCGTCATGTGTATATAGTAAGAAAAAAAAATCGCCATTAGGTTGAGCACAGCCAAACTGCATGCAGTTTGCCTGTGTAAAAAGCCGTCTGCCTATGCAAAGCTAATGGCTAAAAAACACCTAAAAATCAGAAAAATTAAAAACAAAACCTTGTACTCTTGTGGTAACATGATGTAAATGACCGTGATGCTTTGAAAATGAGTTTGTGCTTGAATGAAATCATCAAAATCACCCCACTAGTGTTGAATTGCAAAGTTCTTCACAATGAGCTTAAATGTTTTGACTGACTTGATATGCTTTGAATGAGCAAACTTTTTTAGCAACATTCTCTTTTGTGAGGATAGTGTAACGACTTTTGGTGAAGTAGTTAGGTGGAGAACATTGACCATTCGACATGTTTGGATACCGTGCTTACTTGAATCAATTGTGAGCTTTTGATTTTGCAACGAGTCTCTTTGTTTTGATGGTTTTATGATGGGGTGAACTGTATCTTTATAAAAGAAAACACTACCTGACAAGTAAAATATAAGGAAGTTTCCATAACAATTAAAGTGTGGGTAAAAATGCCAAAATCGTGTGAGGCAATCACTCATTGCACATGGGGATGAGGAAAGATTCAATTGAGAATCGGTTCGCGACCGTACGATGTTGCTTATCAAGTACGATCCCCAGTTGAGTGAAGTGCCATTTGAGGATGTGCAATGGCCCTCCACACAGACCGAGGAAAAGGAGTTAAAAGAAGCCCTTATGCGAGTGCTAAGAAGCAGAAATTGCTCTTGCTCGGTCACCGGTAGTAAGAAAAAAATCCCAATTGTACTAAATACGACTTCTCGGCAAGTAAAATCAGAAAGAGAGAAAGCCTCTCCTTGTCATAAAAGGTAGTGATGTGCTTAAAGTTAAAATCATGTTTGCGAAAGGCTTCCCCCATTAGTTTTTGAGACTCATGCTTAATTAATTGCTTATGATTGGTGTGAGTAAGCCAGACTGTCCTCACGAGATATGCACCTCACGGATGTGATTAGATTCTCCTAATAATTGTTGCACCATAAGTTGTTAACCACCCACTACCGACGATCGAAATTGAGTGTTGTTATTTGAGTTTTTGGATGGATTTGAGCCAGTCAATGGTTAAGGGTTGCAAATACCTTGAGTGTGGGGTGAAAGGTATGACCATTAAAGCACAACTTGTCCGTTGAGAAAGAAACTACTGATTACAACAAGAGTACAAGGAATTTTTGTGTTTTGCTTTGAGTGTTTGATTAGTGAGTTTGTGGTGTGTCATTATTATGGTTAGTTATGTGTTTGTGTCTTTTGAGTCGTTACTTAGGGACAAGCAACAATTGAATGTGGGGTTGTGATATTCGGCTTTAATATATCGGATTCTTGGACTTTATGTGATTATCTCATGGTATGTTTTAGCCAATTGGTGCTATTTTAGGGCTCGCTAACCCGAGAATGGTTGAAAAACCATTACTGCCTAGTGCCATGAGTTTGATATGTTAGAGGTGGAGAAAGCACGAAAAAGGAGCGAGTGCACAAGCAATAAATCGGGCTCGAATTACTGGTGGACTACTCACTTGGGCTCAAGGCCCAGAGGAATTGGCTGGGGAAGATGACAAAAAGTGGAAGGCGGCGGAATTATTCAAGAAGAGGCAGGAGAGGAAGCTTTGGACTTGGAAGTGGGCCAAAGCTCATTCGACTCTTCTCCTTTTGCGGGGCGGCGGAAAAACAAAAGGGTGGCTATTCTTTTGGGCTAGGATATTTTTGGACGCAAGGAATTGGGGGGAACGGAAGGTCGGGGACGAAAAAGAAAAAAAGACTGGTAGGCAATTTTATTGGGGGCGGCGAAATTTCTTGGAGGAGAAGAAGTCAAAATCGTTTTCTTTTTGGAAAAGAGGAAATCACTGTCGGCTGGGATTTTTACTGAAGAGAGCGCCGAGCGGAGAACGAGAGAAAGAGGAAGCAGCGCAGGCAATTGGCGACCAGCGATTGGGCAGGATCATCGACGATCGACTTCTCCCAAGGCGGTTTAAGCTGAATTCAATAGGAGCAATTACTTTGGCTGGATTTTCTAGACCGAACTAGTTGTTTATTGTTGATTTAGAACATGATGATCAAACCTAATGTTTTATCTCAATTTCATCATGAACTAAACCCCGATATCTGGGGGAAACACCATAGGATATAGCTATTTCTATATTTGATGGATTGATTCATGATTCTTTTCTTCCAATCTCTATTGCATGAAATTACTTAATGCTTTGTGTTGACTGGCCACCAATACAACGAATCGTAGTTAATTAGGCTATTAGCGACAGTGAAACCCTAATAACTGAACCTATTTCATGTGACATAGTAACTTATCGAAGCGACAGTGGATTAAATAAGGTGCTATGCGGTCTTAAATAGGATATCGATCTTCAGACTATATAGTTAATTCATTGAGCTACGACAGTAGGATTTGAATTGATTATTTAGTACGTAGTAATTCCCGACAGGGATAGCTAGCACATTCATGATATCCTGGCTGTAGAGGTATGGATTAAATTGATTGGAATCTGTGAATTAATCTGGATAGGATAGGTAGTGAATCCCAGTGTTTCTCCCAGAGCTTTCTCCCATTGAATTTCTCCCTACCATTTTACTTTGCTTAATTAGTTTATTTTGCTTTTAGATAATTAGTCTCATTAAACCATTTTCACCTATAGTTTGCTCTAAAAATTGATAGAACTTAAGGTTGTACCAGTCCCTGAGAGACAATACACGGACTTTCCGGTTTACTATGAGATAGGATTAAGGCATACGCTTTTGCCCTATCAAGTTTTTGGCGCCGTTGCCGGGGAATGCCATACCTTATTTTTGTTGATTTTTGTGAGTGAACTATTTTGATCTGGGTGTTAGTGTGCATGTGAATTTTTCAGGTTTATCCTCCTCGTGCATGCCAAGGAGGGCGACTGGAAATTTACTGCCACTAGATCCCGAGATCGAGAGGACCTGCCGACAGAACAGGAAGCAGGTCAAGTTAGGGAAGCAGCCTACCACATCCACAACTCCGTCTAACTCCGTTAAATTTGTCTGATGTGGCAGTCAACCCTCAAAGTTGACCGTTAACTTAGTGATGTGGCAATTATAAAATAATAAATAGAATAAATTTTAATTTTCTTCCATTTCCAACTCATTTTCACAATAAAGTAAAATAAATAAATAAATAAAAATTATAGTTACACATTGAAAAGGGCACTTCCTCCGCCGCTACATCCCTTCCCCGCAACCAAAGGGACTAGATACTATAACAACACCTCTTGTGTTGTTATTGTAACAACACTAGCCTCCAACCAATAAGAAGCTAGGATTGTGATGACTTTTTATTAGATGAGTTGACCTAGTGTAAAATCAAAGCAGGGGTATAATTGTCATTATGAAAAATATGTTTAAAAAATAAAAAAAATAAAAAAATTATTTTATTTTCTGACCAAAAATTTGGTCGCCGGAATTCTGCCACCGGTCGCCGGAAAATGGTCGCCGGTCACCGGAATATGCCTTTTGTCGCCGGAATATGCTATTTTGTCATCGGAATATGCTTACCGTCGCCGGAATATCCTTACCGGCATCGGAATCTAGTCATCGGGGCCAGAATATGCTTATCGGCGCCGGAATCCGGTCAACGGTCTTCATTGACCGGTCAACGGTCAACGATCACCGGATGTTATGGTCTGCATTGTGAGATTTATGGTTTGGTTTCTCATATTTTTGTACGCCTTTTGTGGTTTGCTTTATCGTGTTTGTGGTTTGCATTGAGAAGTTTCTGGTTTGCTTTATCATGTTTGTGGTTTGCATTGTGAGGTTTCTGGTTTGCTTTCAAAAATTTTGTGGTTTGCATTGAGGGGTTTCTGGTTTGTTTTAATATATTTGTGGTCTGCATTAGGACGTTTATGGTTTGATTTTTTGTGGTTTGATTTACTGTGTTTGTGGTTTGCATTAGGAGGTTTCTGGTGTGCTTCGCAAATGTTGTGGTTTGCTTTGTGAGGTTTGTGGTTTGTTTTAGGAGATTTGTGGTATGCATTCGGAGGTTTCTGGTTTGCTTTATTGTGTTTCTGGTTTGCATTAAGAAGTTTATGGTGTGCTTTCGAAAATTTTATGGTTTGATTTGTGGGGTTTCTGGTTTGTTTTAATATATTTTTGGTCTGCATTAGGAGGTTTGTGGTTTGCTTTACCGTGTTTGTGGTTTGCATTATGAGGTTTCTGATGTGTTTTTGAAAATTCTATGGTTTGCTTTGCGGGATTTCTGGTATGTTTTAGAGCATCTACGGTTTGGTTTAGGAAGTTTCTGGTATGCTTTTTCTAATTTGCGTCCATTCGACGACAAGCAATCAAAACCCCAAACAACGACCAAGTAGAGATTTGAATTGGAACCGTGTGGAAGAGTCCATTTTTTCATTGTCCACATGTCATATGTCCGAAGTTCAATCAATTCACCTACCATAACCTATGGAAAAAGTATTCAATTGGGATGACTATTTCAATTCAATTCGATTATGGCGTTCACAACTTCACATGATGTTTTTGTGGAAATGTGCTCACAGTTTTTCGTATTCGTCAAATTGAGAACAGAAGCTTCGCAATTGTTGGATGAACCCGATGATAATTTTTATAGATAAAATAGTATTGCGTCCATTCGACAGGCGTGGAATGTCTGTCTCCGATACTCGTTATCATCGAATTTTTGTAGACATCCCGCAAGCCTTAATATTATTTTACCGCCATCAAGTTGTGCTTCACTACTTCTGCTTTCTTGACCATTCTATTAAGCTTCTTTGCATGAGTGATTTAAGAGCATCAGAGGTGGATTTCCAGGACAATCACCATTATTGTTGGCGGTTGGGGTTGAATCGACAATGTTAATAGTGGGAAGTGTCCATCGAGGAAGAGTCAAAGCGTCAGTCTCATCCATCTCTCGGCCGTCTTCCCAATAGCTCACCGGCAGCCTTAACTTCATCTCCAAGTTCAGTCTCCTTCAGATTCTCCACTACGCCCAATCTCTCCCGCCGATCGTTTCTCTCTGTCAAATCATCTTCGGTCCTAGGTTACTCCTCCGATCCCTCTCTTCTCTCCCCTGTTAAATGATTTGATGAAACGGTTCAGAAACCTGTATATGCTTCAAGAACATACAACAGGTAGCATCTAAAAGCCTATCAGTCAAGAAGGAGGAAGCTGCAAACATGTGAACGGAGTTAACTGTACTTCCCAGGACATTGTTATGCACAAATAGTACAAAGCTAAGCAAGCATGAAGAGATTTGGTTCACAGGAAATATTGACTAACAAGAATCCCATGTCACAGGAAGGGAGAAAAAGTCAAGTAACAAACCTCCTAGCCTCCTGGTTACAATCCATGGCCACTGCCTCAAGCTCCTTGAACTTTTTCCCAATCGTTGCTTCCAGGTCCCATATCTTCTCCTCCAACTCATTCCTCGAAGCTTCCGCCTCCTCGAATTCTCTCTCCACCGCCTACAGCTCCCTCCTCATCCTTTCTGCATCCCGGATATTAAAACTCTGGTCGAATTTCGTATATGAATAGATAGATTGTTTTCCTCCCTTCCAATTTCGTTTCCCTCTCAGTAGTAGATCCGTCGTCTCCTGGAGGAGTGGTGCCAGCGATTTTGGTGGCGGAGGGTGCGTCAAAGCATTTGAATCGGATGAGGAGCGATCGAAATGACGACCCATCACAGGAGGGGACCGGCGCCTCCAACGCCGGAATCGGTAACCGTGTTTCTAGAGGCGGCGAGAATCAAAATACCGCCGTTGCAGGACAGGGGAGGCGGAATTTGGGCCGGAGTTGGGGGATGTAGAAACCGGAAAAGGCGAAGCGACCCAGCGAATATATATTAATTAAATTCTATCTTGTTATATATTGTGTTAATGAACCCTTTTACCCTTGTTGTTATTATAACAACACTTATAGTGTTGTTATAGTATCCGGAGCCGCAACCAAACCAGCTCCCAATTCCATCCCTAGCTCTGCCCGCTGCTGTCGACCCTGCCGCTTCCCGGCCATAATCACCTGCACCCCCTGCACCCTCGACCCCGCCCTTTCCTCCAACTCCATACCTAAGCGAGTCGGGTAAGAAGCTCAATACTCGCCCGGCCGATCCAGTTCATCAAGCTCGGTAAAAGGATCTTGAACCCACCCCATGAGTTGAAGCATATTGCGAACAAGATGTTGTGGCAGGACTCGTCCCTCGAGATCCTCGACTGCTCGGCCTCGTCGAGGACCAACCCGGTCGCGGAGGAGAAGAATTCGTAGAGGCGGTGGTAGTCGCTCTGGAAGATCGCCGCCGGGAGGCGGACGGTGTGGAGGGTGGCCTCCTCGATTTCCTTCGGCCCGCAAGAGGAAATTGAAAGCGGCATGCTCGCTCGGGTCGGCGAAATCGGCTTTCCCTTTCGTCGCCAGATCGTACTCCAACACTTCAAATAGCTCAGTAAGTGAGGAATTGAACTCGCAAATCACGTATTCGCGACGGGATTTGATCAAATTGAAGAGCAATTGCTTGAGTTTGGTGTGATTGGATTCGGACGGGTTGAGGTAGGACAGGATTCGGTACCCTCCAGTGAGATCCGTGGAGGTTATGTAGGTTATGAGGACCCAGTTATGATTCCGATTAGTTACTCTCGTAATCCAGACAGTCTTGACCTTCCTCTTCTATCTCCTGGTTCAATTTGAACAGGATGCAGTGACTGCATGTTGTAACTGTACTGTGGTGGCTATAAGTAAACATATTTCTTCATTCACTCATCCTCTGATTCAATTGGGAAAAATGTGGAAGGTATTGAGCATTTGGTTTAGAAATGTGGGGGCAGAAATAAGGGAAATACATAGGGTGGAGAAGAAATAGAGAACTGTCCTGGGGGTTTGCCACAGAGGACGAGGGAACAGGGCTGGCGACATGGAATTGGGAGCTAATTATGACCGGGGAACAATGCAGTCAAAAGCGTGATTCTACCTAGAAGCGAAAAAGGGGTAAAATCGTAAAGCGTAGAATTAAAGCGTAAAAACGTAAGTTTTTGACGCATGCTGTAAAATAACTAAAAATCTGTTAAGTACGACATATACTATATAAAATATGAGTGCACATAATTTAGATAAGTTAATAAATACTTGCAATTCATGCCTAAAGTAGAACAACTTATAGCCTCTTAATAATAAGTTCATAAACATAAATCTTAACAATAAGCCATCGTTCCCTCTATGCTAATGAATTTGGGAAGAGCCTAGCTGGTGAATTAGATTACTCTATTGAGGTTGAGAATGCATCCAAGTACCTAGTATGTACCTTTAATCTCAAATATATCGTATTTTTGGTAATTTTCCTTTAATTTCATGAAAAGATTACCTATTTAGTTACCTAAAAGCGTAAAAACGTAAAGCGTTTTGGTGAACTAGAAGCGTAAAAGCGTAAGCTTTTAAGGTTTAAAGCGCAATTTAGTCCGATTTTATTCACTAAAGTTTTTATACAGAAACGAAAGCGTTTTGCTGACCCAAAAGCGTAAAATCGTAAGTTTTTAAGTTTTAAAGCGCGATTTTGACTGCACTGCCGGGGAGCGGCCGGGACGACGGCAGCGGGCGAAGCCAGGGATTGGAATTGGGAGCGGGTTTGGTTGCGGGGAAGGGATGTAGTGGCGGAGGAAGTGCCCTTTACAATGTGTAATTATAATTTTTTTGTTTTATTTATTTTACTTTATTGTGAAAATGAGTTGGAAATAGAAGAAAATTAAAATTTATTTTATTTATTATTTTTTAATTGCCATGTCACTAAGTTAACCGTCAACTTTGAGGGTTGACTGCCACATCAGACAAATTTAACGGAGTTAGACGGAGAGTGACCAAACTTGAACCATTTAACTAATTTGAGTGACCAAGATTGGATTTAAATATTTCTAGTGACCAAACATGAACGTTTTTTGTAATCTTAATGACCAACCATGCAATTAACCCCTGTTTAAGAGGATTGCTATTCGTCGCCCTATAAATTCTTATTCATCGCCCTAATTATGTTTAATTTACACTGATGTCCTTGGTTTATTCTTGTGTCTTTCAAACACTTAAACCCTAAAACAAATACATATATCCACTCGTTGCTGCAGCCGACCACCTCACCGGAGGTCCAATCGTCGTTATTATCACCATGTGAAAATCGTATCGAACTTGTACTAATCATATCAGCAAAAGAAGCAATGGGCATTAGAGTCCAAAGCGATTGGAGGAGAAACCTCCTCCGGAATTGGGGTGGTGGGCGGCGGTGGCAGCAGCAGTGGGTAGTTAAAATTAGGGATTGCTTGTAAAGTGTTCAATTAGAAATTAGGGATAGGGATAAATGTGTCAATTTAGTATGTTTTAGGGCGATAAAATTTAAAATGTAGGGCGACGAATAGCGATTCAGTTGTTTAATTGGACAATGCAACTTTAAGTACCTATTCTATTTTCTTCTTGGAACAGATACATCACTATACTATAAACTTTAGCAAATAAGCCCCTATACTCTACCAACAATCAATTTCTAATTCATACGTAGGAATTCCATTGGAATTACGCTACCAGTCAAATTGAGTTCATGCTTAGGAAACCCATCAATGATAATGCAAATATCATATATGTTGGAAATGTACTATTGTTCACACACCTTAATTTTGCCCCATGATAGATCTCGATCTCCATATGGTTCTTAGTAACAAAAACATCGTAAGAAGATAGATATATAAAATCATCTAGAATGTGTGAGTCAGACACCAGCAAGTTTGTGCCTGTTTCAGGTGGAATTTCGCGTGATCAATGCACCCTGACTTCAAGAAAACGGAAAATGATGTTACTCGGTTCACACCTCTTCAAACACTGTTCGAACGAGGGTGTTCGATGCGTACATCAAAGGAACTGGCTACTTTTACCTCTACTCCTATGGAGATTCCTTGAGAGCTCCGCAACTACTGACTACAACTAACAGAGAAGCCTCGTTGGAGGGTCCCTGGTGCTACTGCTACGGTTACTGTTCTAGAGAGAAAAGATAAATTTTGACGAGACTTGTTGTGGTATGATTTGTCTGTCCTTCGTCTTGAGTCTTGCATCCAGTTTTGTTGTGCCTCACCCTCTAACCGCCTTCTCTCTCTCTTCCCAAAAATAAGCTCCACGTAGCATCCAGTAACTTCCCCGAGCGTTCTTTGCAAGTTAAGTGCTGCTTCTGGTAACCACCTCGACACGTCATCATGTCACTTGACCATTGGACGGTCACCATACACAAAATAAATTGGATGGTATCCATGTTGACTAAGACAACAGTCCATGGATGGTACGCATATTAAATGGTCACCATACCCTAGCATCATCCATTAGGGTTTGGACGGTATCCATTACATTGGACACTACCATCCATTATGGATTTTGGATGGTATCCATGTATTTGGACACTACCATCCATTATGGATTTTGGATGGTATCCATGTATTTGGACACTACCATCCATTATGGGTTTTGGATGGTGTCCATGTATTTGGACACTACCATCCATTATGGGTTTTGGATGGTATCCATGTATTTGGACACTACCATCCATTATACCTATGGCCTGACTTGATAAATTGGACCATTCATGTACACATTGACCAATTACTTAGAATGGCCAAGCTGTTCACACAAGCAATAATTAATGAAAATTATTTTGGTGTAAACAAATGCCCCCCACAACTTAGTTTATAAGAACTAATTCTTATGAACTAAGTTGTTGACACCAACTATACTAGAAACCACTTGAAGCAGATGTTGGCTTTATGTAGCCATGTCCAAGTCACATAAGGAATGTAATTCCTTCCTGGCCATGTGAACAACACACACCAAGAGGGTGTCCCTCTCCAATTCGGCTAATAATACAACTTTTAGCCAATTAATGTAGCATGCCTTTTCCTTTTGTGATAAGGAACATAAATTCTTTTTCATGTAGGACACACCTCATAATCCATATCCTACTAGCAAGAGGAAACTCAGTCCTATTAGGGCAGAATTAAATTTTTCTCTATAAATTGATGCTCCCATTCATCATAATTCACAACTCAAAAAATATCACCGTACCTTCAAAGCTGTGCGATGCTTCCCCATGGCAAGACTCTTGCTACTGCTCGGCCTCAAGTCACCAAGCTCAGGTACTCCTCCTCTCAATCCTGGATGGTTACTCGGCCAAACTCAATCACAATCCATATACAACATGGACGACGTCCTTTTGCTTGGACAACACTATCCATGCAACCACTTAACCAAACATGGATGATACAATCTATCTAGAAGGTGGCAAGGTAACCCCTGTTTTGACCATTCTGCTTCCGAGATAGAAAAACAAACCCCTTTTAATGGCCAATCCAGAAAAGATTTACCCTGGCCATCTAACTCCTCGGCCATGTTGCACATCTTAGAAACCATGTCAACTTTGACTAGGTCTCCATGTGCACTAGGCCAACTTCTAAATCATTGACACCCCTTAACGTCCCAAAGGGACGGTAAGTATGGCTTAAGGTACTTGCCATTAATTAAGCGCTCATGTTGTACACCATCCAAATCTTTCAATAAGTAAGCACCATTGGGACGCACAGCATGAACAATGAAGGGACCCCGCCAATTAGGAGACCACTTTCCAAATTTTGGATCCTTCTCACCAATTGGCAAATGCAGCTTCCATACTAGCTCTCCTTCCTCGAACGACTTATGCTTTACTTTTTTATTGTATGCCCGAGCCACTCTGGCCTTTTGTACCTGGATGTTATCAAGAGCTTGAAGTTGCATCTCATCCAGTTCGGACAACTACAACATCATTGATTCATAATACTCCGAGGGAGTCAATTCATGTTGTTTCATGTATCGTAGAGACTTTACCGTTATCTCCACTGGCAAAAAGGCCTCATGACCATATGTCAAAGAGAAAGGAGTCACTCTCGTACTACTGCGTGGTGACATCCTATAAGCCCATAGTGCCTCTGATAGCACCTCATGCCAATTCCTTGGATTGTCCTCAATCATTTTGGACAAGATTCCTTTTACCACCTTATTGGATGCTTCTGCTTGACCATTGGCTTGAGCATAATAAGGTGTGGAGTGGATGATCCTAATGCCATGATCTTTGGCAAACTCCATTACCTGTGCTCCAGTGAAGACTGTCCCTTGATCGGCTGTTATAGTGGCTGGCAAACCAAAACGATGAATAATGTGTTCCTTGATAAAAGAAATCACTTCCCCTTGGTTCACCGTCTTCATTGGCTTTGCCTCTACCCACTTTGTAAAATAATCAGTAGCCACAATGATAAAGGTGTGTTGCTTAGATGACGGGGGATAGACTTGTCCAATCAGATCCATTGCCCATCCAAAGAATGGTCGAGGCTTAATGATAGATCTCAGATCGATGGCAGGTGCTCTTTGCACTGGTCCATGACGTTGGCAAACTTCACATCCCTTAGCAAACGATGCACAATCAGGCCCAATAGTTGGCCAGTAATATCCATATCGGTGAAGTATCCACCTCATGGATGGACCAGCTTGATGTGCTCCACATATCCCCTCGTGGACTTCGGCCATAGCTTGTAAAGTCTCCTTGCCCCCCAAGCACTTAAGCAACAAACCATCTGGCCTTCTCTTGAACAGTGTCCCATCCAGTAAGACATAGTTCCTAGCCCTAAACTTGGTAGTATGGTCTGCATCCCCGCTTGGATTTTGCAAGTACTTCACTATAGGAGCCCGCCAGTCCTTGGCATCCTCTTCAATCACACAAACCTCAACAACTTGTTTCATTCTATCCCTCAAAGGGCTAAGAGTTTGCACGAATATTTGGTCTCTTCCTCCACTGACAAACTCTCTAAAGCCGGATGCAAGCTGAGCCAGGTAGTTGGCCTTGCCATTATCCATACGAGGAATGAACTTGATGGATACATTGTCAAAACGAGAAATCAGCATTTTGACACGATCAAGATACAATTCCAATACATAACTAACACAACGGTATT